AAAAGTGTAGTGCTACTACAAAAACACATCGTTTTACAATTTAAAAAGAAAAAAAAATACTAAAAATATATTTTTCTAAAAATATTTGTCTATTTTTTTTTTAACAAGGTGAAGGGAATAAAAATAATATATAAAATGAAATGAATTCAATCTTCAGAAGTGGGATTAGCTTCAAATAACTGTTAAGGAAAGTGAAAAGGAAAGAAAAGAAAAACGCGTCCTCTAAAGATCACAAACACTGTTGAATCTTCTCTCTATCTTGCGCTCTCTCTCTCTCTCTCTCTCTCTCTCACTCTCAGAGTGAAAAGACCCTAAATTAGGGTTAGGGTTTTCAAAAACAGCAAAAACAAAACCCTCTCCATTCATTCACTACAACAACTGAAAGAGAGGGGTTTTCATTGTTTTAGAGACCCTTTTGAGGGTTCTGAAATGGGTTCCTCTTGTTTTCCTTCTTCAGTTATCAAGTGGCAATCTTTCACAAAACTGAAGCTTTTCTCTCTCTTCTGTGCCTTCTCTCTGTCACTAAACGGCGTCGCTTCTTTTGATTCTGACAAATCTGTGCTGTTACAGTTCAAGAACTCAGTCTCTGACCCTTCAGGGCTTCTCTCTGGCTGGAATCTGATTAACACCAACCATTGTCACTGGAACGGCGTCTCGTGTGATGCTAATTCGCGCGTTGTTTCGATTAATATCACTGGAAATGGCAACTATAGAGGTAAGGACAGTAGAAATGGAAGTGCTTTTTTGTGCTCTGGTGATTCTATTGAGCTTTCACTGTATGGGTTTGGGATTAGGAGAGATTGTAAGGGTAGTAAGGGGGTTTTAGTGGGAAAGCTGTTGCCTTTTATTGCCAAGTTAAGTGAACTTAGGGTTTTATCATTGCCCTTTAATGGCTTTCAGGGTTTGATACCTAGTGAAATATGGTGCATGGAGAAGTTAGAGGTTCTTGATCTTGAGGGTAATTTGGTGTCTGGGTCGTTGCCGGTTTCATTTTCCGGGTTAAGGAACTTGAGGGTTTTGAATTTTGGGTTTAACAGGATAGAAGGAGAGATACCGGGTTCACTTTCTTATTGTGAAGGTTTGGAGATCTTGAATTTAGCTGGAAATCGGATCAATGGGACAATTCCGGGGTTTGTTGGCAGGTTAAGGGGTGTGTATCTGTCATTGAATCAGCTTGGTGGTTCTATACCTGAGGAGTTTGGTGATAATTGTGAGAAACTTGAGCATTTGGATTTGTCTGGGAATTTTTTCGTTGGAGGGATTCCTAGTAATTTAGGGAAATGTGGGAATCTGAGGACACTGTTGTTGTATTCAAATCTGTTTGAAGAAATTATTCCACATGAACTCGGTAAGCTTGGGAAGCTAGAAGTGTTGGATGTGTCAAGGAATAGTCTTAGTGGGCCAGTGCCCCCTGAGCTTGGAAATTGCTCTGCATTGTCTGTGCTTGTGCTTTCGAATATGTTTGATCCATATCAGGATTTTAATGGTACGAGAGGGGACATTTTGTTGGATCATTCTATTTCTGTGAATGAAGATTTCAACTTTTTTCAAGGGGATATGCCTGCAGATGTGCTGACTCTTCCAAAACTGAGGATGTTGTGGGCACCAAGTGCAATGCTTGAGGGCATGTTGATGAGCAACTGGGATCCCTGTGATAGCTTGGAAATGATCAATTTGTCTCATAACTTCTTAACAGGAGAAATCCCTCATGGGATTAATCACTGCAATAAGCTGTGGTATCTGGATTTGAGCTTCAATAAGCTTAATGGGGAGCTTCTTGCAGACTTTCCAGTTCCTTGCATGACTGTTTTTGATGTTAGTGAAAACGCACTGTCAGGTTCCATCCCCAGTTTTTATAGCAGCAGTTGCCCTCGTGTTCCTTATGTGAATGATAATCCCTTGAATGCTTATGATCCATCATCTGCCTATGTGTCATTTTTTGCATATAAAGCTCAGACTGGAAGTCCTGCTATGTCACTTGGAGGAAGTGATGGAATCACATTTTTTCATAACTTTGGGAGCAATAACTTTACTGGTACTCTCCAGTCCATTCCTATCGCACCTGGAAGATCAGGAAAGCAAACTGCTTACACATTTTTGGCTGGAGATAACAAGCTCAGCGGGCCATTCCCAGGTATTCTTTTTGAGAAGTGTCATGGATTGAACACGATGATTGTTAATGTTAGTAGCAATAGAATGTCCGGTCAGATTCCGGCAAATATGGGTCCAATGTGCAGATCTCTCAAGCTTCTGGATGCATCTAAGAATCAGATTATGGGGACCATTCCCCCAAGTGTTGGTGATTTGGTTTCTCTCGTTTCTCTTGACATGAGTTGGAACCTTTTGCATGGCCCGATACCATCTAGTTTGAGCCAAATAAGGGGTTTGAAGTACCTGTCTTTGGCTGGTAATGGAATAAATGGTTCCATTCCTTCTAGCTTAGGGAAGCTGCAAACTTTAAAGGTTCTGGATCTCTCTTCGAACTTGCTTTCAGGAGAGATACCAAATGATCTTGTGAAGTTGAGAAACCTGACTGCTCTTCTTCTCAATAACAATAAACTCTCTGGGCGGATACCCTCTGGTTTAGCAAGTATGACTTTGCTCTCAATGTTTAACGTCTCCTTCAATAACTTGTCTGGGCCACTGCCATCAAGTAACAGTTTGATGCAATGTAGCAGTGTTCTTGGAAACCCATATCTACACCCTTGCCGTGTTTTCTCCCTAGCAGTGCCATCTCCGGATTCTCAAGGAAGGGCTTCTGAGGCACAAGGCTATGCTTCTCTCTCAGGTCAAACCCAGGAGAGGCAGGGTGGTGGCTTCACTTCAATTGAGATAGCATCAATAGCCTCTGCATCAGCCATTTTTGCAGTTCTCCTAGCTCTGATTTTCCTATTCATCTACACCAGAAAATGGAGTCCAAAATCCAAAATAGTGGGATCTGCCAGAAAGGAAGTAACAATCTTCACAGACATTGGGGTAACCCTGACATTTGAGAATGTGGTGCGGGCCACTGGGAGTTTCAATGCGAGCAATTGCATCGGCAATGGAGGTTTTGGGGCCACATACAAGGCAGAGATCTCTCCAGGAGTTCTGGTGGCAATTAAAAGGCTTGCAGTTGGACGGTTCCAGGGCATTCAACAGTTTCATGCAGAGATCAAAACCCTTGGAAGGCTCCACCATCCAAATCTTGTCACTTTGATTGGTTATCATGCAAGTGAAACAGAAATGTTTCTCATATATAATTATTTGCCAGGTGGTAATTTGGAAAAGTTTATTCAGGAGAGGTCCACAAGGGCAGTGGATTGGAGGATACTTCACAAAATTGCTCTGGACATAGCTCGTGCACTTGCCTACCTTCATGATCAGTGTGTACCACGTGTACTCCATCGGGATGTTAAGCCCAGCAACATTCTCTTAGATGATGATTTCAATGCCTATTTATCCGACTTTGGTTTGGCCAGGCTATTGGGAACTTCGGAAACCCATGCTACTACCGGAGTGGCTGGAACTTTTGGGTATGTTGCCCCAGAGTATGCAATGACTTGCCGTGTATCAGATAAGGCTGATGTTTATAGTTACGGGGTTGTGCTTCTTGAGTTACTTTCAGACAAGAAAGCTCTGGATCCTTCATTTTCCCCGTACGGAAATGGTTTTAACATTGTTGCTTGGGCATGCATGCTCCTTCGGCAGGGCAGAGCTAAGGAGTTCTTCACAGGAGGGTTATGGGATGCTGGGCCACATGATGATTTGGTAGAAATCTTACACCTGGCAGTTGTGTGCACGGTGGACACACTATCGACCAGGCCTACGATGAAGCAGGTTGTACGACGGTTGAAACAACTGCAACCGCCATCATGCTAGTTGCTTGATAGGGTCATGCTTGAATTAACATAGTGATTTGTAGTGGTGGGTAAGCCCATTTAATTTATGCTTTCTTGGTCCTCGTTACGGGCTGCCCATAGGAGCTAAACTTTTAGTTATTTACCCACTTGTAAATGGTATTATAGTTTTGCCCCCATTTTTCTAAGCTGTTCTCCCGCTTGGGGGTCTCATTGATGAATCTGCAAAAGAATGCAGATATTCATTTGCCACGGTGTATAAATGAATCTCAGTTTCCATTTGCTTAATAAAGCCATCGAATCGAGATATTTTCTGGGAATCTGTTCGTGCGTCTGCTAAGATCATGCCATTTTTTACAAGTAAGCTGTACAAATGGCTATTGCTCTTCAAATAAACCGAGGGATGGTCTTGGTTTAGTTGCTTGCAGGTCGCATGTGAAGTTCAATTGAACAGGACTGCGGCCATAAAGTCCTAGAGGAGCAAAAGGAGATCCTCGCCATACATTGATCAAATCATGACATGAGCTCTGCAGTGACGAGGTAGTTCTGCAAGTGGCTATCGTGGGGTTGTTTCCCTTTGCAATCATGTTTTTTGGTGGCTCCCTTTTCCTCGTCATTTCACTTCAACGATCATGATATCGAATTTTACTTCTTTCCAACTTACCTGCAACCAAATTTGGTATGTTTTAAAGAGGACAAATGCCAATTCGTGGTTTACCTACTTCGCATTCCATTTTGTTAACGTCAATCCCAGGAAGACCAACTTTTCGAGTACTTGCTGGTTTTCTGAAATCAAAACTTGGATCTCGGCTGCATTAAATTTTATTCTGCGCATCTAATTCCTGAACCAAAACGGATTAGGTTTTAGGCCCTTCAAGGTAGGTTGAAGCTTGCAAGCAGTGGAACGTGGTTTTCACTTCTCCAACCAGTTTTTAAGCATTCAGCAATAGTCCCATATTTTGTTAGTGCTCGATTGGGCTTGGACGAATTCACCTGCTTGTAAAAATTGAAAGAAATAGGCAAGCCAGCATAGACACACCCTTCATCAGCTGGCCTGCTTTACATCAGTAAAAACAATCTTGCATCCTGCTATAAGGCCGAAATAGAGCAACTGATTTAGCTTTGCAGCAACAGCCATCAGGCATGATCATTGAGAACAAATTGAAACTGAAAAGAAAACAGAAATTTCATTTGCCTTAAACCTTTTTGGTTATTTTTTCTCGCTGTCTGTTTTGCACGAGATTAACATTACAAAAAGGGGGGAGGGTTAACAACTATATGCTTTAGGGGTTGCTCTACATCACCATCACCAGCATGCTTGACAAACTCAGCAGCTGAGAGAAAGCTTCCATGGCAAATACATACAATCCTCACCTCCTCTCCTTTACGATACTGGTAGAGAAAACCTTCTATTCGTTTCCTGTTGGGACCATCTCCTTTTGTGGACACATATGGCATATCCTCCAACACATTTCTCACTGCCTCCTTAGTTCCATTCTCAGCGACTATAAGTTTGTTAGATCCGTTCTTTTCCATTGCAACTCCTGCAGGGACACCTATTTTTTCAGCTAGTGCTAATCTAAGCGCTATGATCGATTTCTGCTCACACTCTGACAAAGACTGCACACTGACAGGGCTTCTTGACTCAACACATTTGTTCATTCCTATATTGAAACAAACAGAATATAGGAATAAGAGGTTGGATTAAGGAAAATAAGTTGTTCAAATACAACCAGAAATTATGGAAAGTTAATACTCTCCACGAAGATGCTCTCTGCACTGAGATGGAGTGAGATAAACTGGAGCATAAACTATTATTGAAAGAGCGACACTATCTCATATATAGATACGCTAAAAAATAAAATAAAAAAGAGTCAGAATCTTTAGGTGTATCATACAAGGCTGGCACTCGCAGCATATGAGCTTTGCTAGCATGAGCATGTTCATCAGCATTATCTGATATTCAATGGAAACGCTCAATTTGAAAGCTAAAGAAGACTAGCCAAATGCATTCCCCCTGCATAGCTTCAAAGAGAGTTCTGCTTTAGCCTGGTGTGTCGCTACGCTGGGAGAAGTTATGCAAGCTTGCATTAAAAGGATATCTTGCCCAAGTACTTTGGGCATGAAGATCCCAGCTACAGCGGGTTTTAAGAAAAATATCATATTACCAACAAGACAACAAAACAGAAGCTCAAATAACCATGCTGAGGAACTCAAAATGAATCAGAAGCATGTGCTTTAGAGAGTCAACGATTTGTTTTTTTGTTTCCAGAAATCTAAGCAATTTAGGATTGCTGGAGTCTTTTATTTGTGCATCCGGAATAAGGTAGCCAGGAAGCTTTCGCCTTTGTAGTCGTCCAAAAATTAACACAAATGCTATGTATTGAGAGAAGCCTCAAGAGAAGATACCATATAAATTGCATACAAAATTTCAGCACATACATTTCAGGCTCACTCTGTTGTGCACTCCTTTCAGGAAATGACTTATACCACCAAAATAAATTGAGAAGTGAACAATCAGCAACATAACAAGCCAAGAAATTGGTCGTTTTACTATTACCTATGCTATCACCACAAACCAAAAGATTCCTAGTAATTCATCTTCATATTTATATCATAAAAATATGGCCAAGTGAAATTAACAAAATGGAGCTCTCATACCTTTCGCTATACTGTTTTGCACTGACCAAAGTTTGAAGACAACGAAACATAGAAACATCTTATGCATACTTGAATACGGCTGAGAAAAATGTGAAAAGAAATATTCTAAACTCAACTAAAATTGAAAATAGAAAACGGATAAGAAACACAGAAGAGCTCCATTGGAAAGGGGTTTGTAAATGCAAAGGCCTTTACGAGTTCTAACACTTCAGAACAGATTTCCCACTGCAGAACATCCCCACATCGAACAACGAAGCATTCATAGATTTCTCACGGAACTAGACAGCCAATATTAAAACATTCACAGACTACTGAACTTGGATCAAGCTTGAATGATATACAAAGAAACACATGGTCCAAAAAGCCCAGCTTGTTGCATGCTGGAAAAGCTAAGGAAAATAACCACAAAAACATATAATTTTTTTCAACAATGTAGACAAAATAATAACTAAAAAGATGCCAAATTTTTTTTTCCAATTGGTCTACTTCCATAGATTATAACCTGGCGAAAAATCGGAACAGGCCAGTATCAGGCTAAAATAGCATCCAACCATTGGCACAGCATCTTAATAACAATAATAGCAATCAAATTTCAAATAAGAATCAAAGCAACCACACATGCACCAAATGTTTTAAGGAAAGGAAAAAAATAAAAAAAAGAATGTTTGTTACCTTTAACTGGCTGGCTTTCAAATTCTGTTATCCCAGAAGATGCAGTGCCTTGTGATGTTAGTAATAATGGTGGTGGTGCTACTTCGGCTTGTGTTAACAGCCCTTCTATAGCAACACCAAACAAACCATTGAAGCTCTTAAGAAACTCTTTTTGATGGTGATTACCAGTTGTGCCTTTTTCTCTCTGTTCATCTTCCTCACCCCTATTGTTATCCTTCACTGCTTTGAAATTTTGCTTCTCTGATCTCTTCCTTTTAGCCTCCATTCTCCTAAGTGTCTGCATCTCTTCCCTCTTCCTCCACTCCTCCTCTGTCTCTGTTGGCAAAGAACAAGTCCTTAAAGATTATTACTTTCCATATTAGATACCACAAAAGAACTTCCATTGCCACTTGCATTTCCATTCTCTCTTAATGGGTTAACAAAATCTGCTGCTATAGAAGATGGTCTAGATCTAGTAATCTTCTTGGCTTTTGGGTCCACACCGAATCTGCCATTCAATGAAAGTCCAAGACTTAGCTCAACATCTTCTTCTCCGTTGAGTTTGTGATTACAATGATTCGCAGATATGAACCTTGGCAACATATCATTGGGACAATTGTTGAACATAGAGATGTTATTATGTTGCTGTTAAGTTTCAATGTTCTGAAGTTTCTCTGTTTGTGCCATTTCATATCTTGATAGAAAACTTGCAGAACAATCCAGGTTTTGAAATTTGATTAGGAACAGAAATCCCATCACCAAGAATATTGTCAAGAACCAACAACTTCAAATTCCACCATGAAGAAAAACCAAAATCCTCATTTTCTCCATTTCCTAAAAAATAAAAAAAGTTATATAAAAAACTTATTTTTAGGCTCCGCTTGTTTGCAGGAAAGTTATTTCTTTTTAAAAAATAAATTTTAAAGAAAATAAATTTCTAAAAAGTAAATTTCAAGAAAGTATTTTCTGATATTTGGTAGTGTTATGGAAAATCAACTGGAAAACATTTTCCAGTGTTTGTTTATGTTATGAAAAATGAACTGAAAAATAATTTATTAATGAATTAATTTTTTTAAAATTTTATCTAATATATATATATATATATA